CTGTCCCTACTGACGCACATGGCACTTGATCCAAAGTCCACTGAACTAAATTAGAGTCTTAGCACTACATTATGTAAGTGCTTATATTCCTTCAGACGTTTGGTCTCCCAACCCCAATAATAACTAGAGATGGACACAAATAAAATCCATGGATCAAAACAGGTCTGAACTTTGGTGGAAATTTGAACCCACATCTCAACTTTGTTGTTTGGGTCAGTTCTCTAATAATAATCTCTAGAGGCGGTTCAGACATACCTACATCTGACCTTCATGCTACTTCCGGATGTCAGCAACCAAGGCACTACTGGCAGTTAGCCTGGAACAAAAATGTGTTTGTATACAAACAAAAGGTCAAGAGACCTTGTATGTATCCCATCACAAGCTGCCCCACCGTATTAAAAATCAGAGCTCTTCCCACTGGCCTTTTTCTCTTTTCTCACATCAAAGATATAGCTCAGTGGTTCTCAACCTATTTACCATCATGGGTTGCATATGCAGTTCTCTGTGCGTTATGTGGGACACATCCACACAATATATATACTACCTGCATGGCCCTGAGGATGTCACATATGTGTTTGACTAAAACATCTTCTAGAAATGCATTTGAAGACAAGAAAGAGAATCCACCATTTCTGTGGGTATTTTTTTCCCCAGTGGTTAATCACCTTCACAGTTAAAAATGTGTGCCTTATTTCTAATTGGTATTTGTCTGGCTTTAACTTCCAGCTAAAGTCTAGATAATACTCAATACTCATCACTAATTGCTATAATGAAAATGACACTTTGCTGTTCTCTAGCAATTTAATCAGTATCTGAATTGTTTGTTTGTCACTTATACCATTATCTTTTGAGATAGATGGTTGCCATAAATCAGAATTCTCTTAAAGCTCCACACTATTCTGTCATTATCCCCAACCCCATCGGACTCATTTTCCAGATGGGAAAACTAAGGTGCAGAGTGGCCAAGGAATTTGCCTAAAGTCACACAGTGAGTCAGTGGCAGAGCTGGGAGCAAACAGACTTGTGACTAGGATATTTGCTTTAATCCCAAAACGAAGCTTCTTCCCAAGAGAGAGGTGGCAGCTCTATACCTCTGGGCAGGTCAATCTATAAAATGGAGATAATACTGTGTTAGTTAAGGACTGTAAAGCATTTTGAAGGTTAAATGCTCTAAATCAGTAGTTCTCAACCAGGGTTCAGGGGCCCCCCTAGGGGGCCTCAAGCACGGCCAGCATTAGACTCACTGGGGCCCAGGGCAGAAAGCCGAAGTCCCACTGCATGGGACTGAAGCCCAGGTCCCCGAGCCTGCCACCTGGAGTTGGAGTTGAAGCTGAAGCCTGAGCAATGTAGCTTCATGGGGGCCCCTGTGGCAATTGCCCTGCTTCCTATCCCCTAATGCCACCCTGGCTTTTATATGCAGAAAACCAGTTATTGCGGCACAGGTGGGCCGTGGAGTTTTTGTAGCATGTTGGGGGAGGGGCTCAGAAAGAAAAAGGTTGAGAACTCCTGCTCTAAATAAAGAGTCTGGTGGCACCTTAAAGACTAACAGATTTATTTGGGCATAAGCTTTCGTGAGTAAAAACCTCACTTGCATCCGAA